GGGAGGGCGGGGGTTGGAACGGGAGGGCGCGGAGAGCGGGGCGGTGGGGCTCGGGCCCCCGGCCTTGGTGGCTCGCGGCCGCGGTCCGCCTGGGCTGCGCGGGCTCGCTGCGCCGGCGGGGCGGTCCGTGGAAGCGGGACGGGCGGCTCCTCTGCAGGTGGCCCATGAGGCCACCAGGCTACCAGGCTCCCCGCTTGTGTGCGGGGGGGGCGGGGGGCGGGCGCGATCTCCCTCCGCACTCAGGACGCGAGCCTGGCTCCTAAGCCGGCCCGCGTGGCCTTGGGCAGGTCACCTCCGGTTCTGGGTGCCTCGCCCGCGGGGAGAGAGATAGTTGAACTGTCGTCTCCCAGGCCTTCGCCCCGTGGTCGTCAATGTCTGCATCTGTAAAACAGGCCTATGTTAAGACTTTCTGCCGCGTGGTTAAGAGGATTAAATGAGCTAACGCACCCGAAGGGCAGAATCTGGTGCATACTGAGAGCTCAAAGGTGGTTATCAGGATAAGGAGGCTAGGGGGACACCCCTAAGAATTTCTCCTTTCCCTTCATGGGACCCTGGGCCGGAACCAAGGGAACTGCCTTGTTTTCTGATCCTCCTGGTGGTGGCGGGCAGAGGGCTCGGGATGCAGGTCACTGCCGTCCTGATCAGGAGGTCTGGTGACAGAGGGAACTTATACCCGTTTTACAGAGAGGGTAACTGACGCTCAGAAAAGAACAGGGTCTGCCCAAGGGCATCCTGACTACGTTTAGGTGGTGGGTTCCCAGGCTGCCCGCCCGCAGACCTCAGGCTCTCTCAGGAGTGGGGGGGGGGGGGGGGCGCTCAGGCGTGTGCTGTGGTCTCTGGAATTTGGGCAGATGGAAGGCAGGGGGCCTGGGGCTAGGCCAGAGCAGGACTACTTTATCTCTTCAGCAACCTGCCAGCAACCTCGGCTTGGCCCTGTAGCAGGTGTTGAGGCCCCGAGTTGATCAGTTACTGCCCTGGGCCTCAGTTTGCTCATCTGTAAAGTGGGGGTACCTCAGAGACTGGGCCAGTCAAAGTGGGTCGGAAGGGCACCTAGGTTCCTCCCTCTGTCCTCGGGCCCTTCTTCCCGACTGGGGAGGTCGAGGCAGAGAGGCTGCCTCCCGGGACCCGGCCTGAGCAATGCCCTCCCCGCAGCCACCCGCGAGTCGGCCTTCGTGCACGCCATCGCCTCTGCCGGCGTGGCCTTCGCCGTCACGCGCTCCTGTGCCGAGGGCACCTCCACCATCTGCGGCTGCGACTCGCATCACAAGGGGCCGCCAGGCGAGGGCTGGAAGTGGGGCGGCTGCAGCGAGGACGCCGACTTCGGGGTGCTCGTGTCCCGGGAGTTCGCGGACGCGCGCGAGAACAGGCCGGACGCGCGCTCGGCCATGAACAAGCACAACAACGAGGCGGGCCGCACGGTGAGCTGCGGCCGCCCTCGCCCCGACCCAGCCCGGTACCCCTTTTCGGACCCTGTGCCTGCCCCTCCCGGCTGGCCCCACCCCTGCCCCACCCTACCCTTCTGGTGCTTCTTGTACATGCGGGCTCCCTGCTCTCCTCTTTCCCCCTGGTGGAGCCTGTCAACCCCCCCCCCCCACGCCCCACAATCACCCCTTCCGTTCACCCTCCGTTCTCCTTGGGCTGTTCCCCTGCGCGCCCGCCCGCCCGCCCACCTTCCCCGGGGGTGCGTCAACTCGGGAGTGTGGCGGCCCCGTGGCGCACGTACCCGCCAGCCCATCCAGTGCACTTGGGCAGCCTGTGCAGGACTGTGAAGACCGGTGGGCTTGGCTTTGAGTTCAACCTCCACCCCTTCCTCTGGTGGTTCGACCTAGGGCGAGTCACTTACGCTCCCAGCCTCAGTTTCCCCATCTGTTAAACGGGGATCGCAATCCCTATTTCCTGCAGCTTTGGAAAATGGCTGCGGTTTCTGCCAATGCTTGGGCTGTGAAGGGGAGGGAGACGACGGTCATCGTTTTTAGGTCCGCACCTCGGTCCCCAATCCGTTGTCTTCCCGGCACCCAGTAGGCTCGGAGAAGGCTCCAGGGATGGGGGTGGGCGGGGGCAGAGTTGGGAGGGCCTAGGTGTACTCCCAGGTGGTGTCGTTCCGGGGGCCAGCTGCCACTCCTCTTCCCCAGACCATCCTGGACCACATGCACCTCAAGTGCAAGTGCCACGGGCTGTCAGGCAGCTGCGAGGTCAAGACCTGCTGGTGGGCCCAGCCCGACTTCCGCGCCATCGGCGACTTCCTCAAGGACAAGTACGACAGCGCCTCCGAGATGGTGGTGGAGAAGCACCGCGAATCCCGCGGCTGGGTGGAGACCCTCCGCGCCAAGTACGCGCTCTTCAAGCCGCCCACCGAGAGGGACCTGGTCTACTACGAGAACTCCCCCAACTTCTGCGAGCCCAACCCCGAGACGGGCTCCTTTGGCACCAGGGACCGGACTTGCAATGTCACCTCCCATGGCATCGATGGCTGCGACCTGCTCTGCTGTGGCCGCGGCCACAACACGAGGACGGAGAAGCGGAAGGAGAAATGTCACTGCATCTTCCACTGGTGCTGCTACGTGAGCTGTCAGGAGTGCATCCGCATCTACGATGTACACACCTGCAAGTAGGGAGCCAGGTAGGGTGGCGGGGTGGGGAGGGGGGGGCAGGGGGCAGGGAACTGGATTAGCCCCTCGCCCCTTCTCCAGCAGCCTGCTTCTATTCCTGAGTCACCCAAGGCACACAAGTTTCCAGGGACGAATTAGGAAGCCGGGATTTCCCAAGCTTCGGTGGCAATGACCCTTGGACCGCTTTCCTGCGCGGATTGCCCAAAGCACAGATAACAGCGAGAGTGTGCACACAAGGCGGCAAGCAATTGATTAACATTTGTATGCAAGTTAGTCACTTATGAGCCAGGTCAGACTTTTGCGTGGCCCCTGGCTGTCATTGCTGAGCATCTGTGGCGCCACAGGAGGGACACTGGGGTTGGAAGCCAGGACACCTGACTTCTGGTCCCAGTGTTGCCCTGTTCCAGGAACTCCCTAATTTCTTGTTCTTCCGCTTTCGTGGGTCTCCGTTTCCTTACCGTAAAACAAGGGGGTTAAGATACTTGACATAGCAGGCCAAAGATCCTCTTTTACCCCCCGGGGGCAGAGTCATTTTTGCATCCACCTTGAACGGAGAGGGCAAGTTTTTGCACAAGCATAAATCCTACCGACCTGGAGGAGGTGGGTGGGGGGAAGCGGTGTATGTAAGCCCATATCCTGACAGATCTAAAGCTTGGGTGGGGTGGGGGCACTCTGAGCGAGTTTATGGAAGGGGATGGGGAGGAGGAGGGATTCAAGTTCAGAGTGATGGTGGTGAGTAATCAAGGGATCAAAGGCTGGTGGATTATGTTCCCAAGCTTCCCAGAGGTGGCCTGCGTGGGAGACACGCAGGTGCCAGGCCCCTGTGTCCATAGGTCCCCAGCATAGTTCAGGACCGATGGAGGGTGGTCCTCGAGTCTTGGAGGTGGAAGGGCTGAGGCCACTATGCCCCTTCTCCCTCTTCTCTGCCCTGAGAGGGAGCCTAGTCTATAAAGTCATGAGCCCTGGTCCAGCTGCCACCGCTTGCCGGTCGGGGGGACCAAGACGAGCGTTTTTACAGAGCTACCTCCTTATCTGCCATCCTCCCCGGAGGTGCTGTGGGGGACCAATGAAAGGACACTGGGGACAGTGCTTGGTTCACTGCCTGGATCATCCCCTCACCCCCCTCCCGGGGGCAGGGCAGGAAAGAACACCCCACCAGGCGATGCAATTCCCCAGAGGGCACTTCAGAGCTGGTGGCGCACGTCTAGGCTGTGCGGGCCTGGGGGCGGGGCCGGGCCTCCCTGAGGCTTGGGGGAACCCAGGTCATGGTCATGGGGAGAGCTCTGGGTGAAGGGGACTCACTTGGCCCATCTGCGAGGCCCCTCCGTGTAGCTCAGGTTACGACCTGGCCGGGATGGAGCCCGGAAAGGCAGCGGGAGGCACTTGGAAGTTGGTGGTACTTTCTTGGTGTCTGAGTAAGTGCAGTGTGGCCAGTGGAAAGAGGACAGAGGTGGCTCCAGCTCCATCACGTACCAGCCGTGGAACCCCAAAGCCCAGTGTCCCCATCTGTACAGTGATGGTGGGAGCCTAACATAAGTGTCGTGAGGCTCAAATGAGCCACCAGGGGTGTATGTTTGTCTGAATCTCCTACTAACAGAGAGGGACAGAGGCCATCAGAGAGCCGTGACATGAGGGCGTCTTCATGCGGTGAGATGGTGTCATCACCTGGCCAAGTTTCATTTCTTGCTTCTCACGAGGATAGAAGAGTTAGCGACCGTGAAAGAGCTCACAGGCCCATTGTAGCATGGCCACCATGGCCAGAGGCAACATGGTGTCCCCACCATCAAGCAGGACGTGGCCATTCTGAGAGGGAGCTTTGGGGAAGTCAGAATTTCAGAACACTCACACTGGACATCTGTCTGGCTTACCCATTGCTGGGGTCGGAACACTGAGCCCAGGTCTCTGCCTCCAGGAAGCTTCGTGTGTGGCAACTGCAGAGGCCGTAGCAGCAGCAGCCCAGGTCCCATCAGTGGCTCTAGGGGGCTCTGGGGGGTCGTTGGTTCAGACCCGCAGCTGCGTCCCAGCACGTCCCCTCCTCCAGGTGGGCAGCCAAGAAGAGCCATCTGCCAAGCAGAGAAGGAGGTGTCTTGACCCTCAGGCTCCAGAAAATCCCCTGCCTTCCGCCCCTGGGGTTAGTACTGACCCTAAGAGGCATCAGTACACCTTTAGCCCTCTTTTCTCCCATTTCTGAAGTAGAATAGTGTTTTTTCCAGCCTTATAAAAGTGCCACGTAGACACGTTTTCAAGATGCCACGTCTAGGTAGATCGGGTCCCCAGGCCCCTCCTCTCCGGTCACTCTGGAGCCCTTGCTCTGGGACGAGTGGAGGACTCTCTCCCAATGTGGTGCCCTTTGAACAAACACTCTACTTGTTGAGTGATTTGGGACGAGCTGTTGAGCTTCTCTGTGCCCTGGCTCCCTCGTTTGTGAACTGGGGATAAGAGCCAGTCCCTCACGGGGTCGTCGTACGGCTGTATACACAGGGCCTGGCACATGGTCCGAGGAGGCGGCGAAGATTCCCAGGCTAAGCAGAGCCGACCTCCGAGAGCGACTTCCCCCAAGCCTGCTGCTTGATCAGAAGCCACAGGCCCAAGATTGGCTGAGACCTGGTTATCTCTCCCGTCGTTTCATCCACACTGACGCCATGGGCAAGATGGGAACTTTCAAGACAGGCCGGCAGGGACATGTGCCCTCCACCCGCTGGGTGGGGAGTGAGCCCCAGTCAAATGGCTTTCTACCACAGGAAGGCCAGAGATTCCCGGGCCCCCCGGGTGGGGAAAACATCTTCTCCATTGCTTGTAGCTTCTGGGTCTCATGCTTTACCACTCATTTCCTCCCTTGGCAAGTACTGGGTTTATTCCTTGTTATTCAGATGTTGTGAGCCCAGTAAGCTGGACAGGTCTCTGGACAAGAGTCAGGTGGCCTGGCTGGCCCCAAGTGCTGGATCTGTCACTAACTTGCTGCAAAACCTTGGACATGTCCCTTTAATCTGGCTGAGCCTTGGTTTCTGCCCCCGGAAAATAATCTTCCCTTGGTCTTGTCAGCTCCCTGAGGAGTGGAGGGTTGATTGGGGATGCCCACGAAAGCGCTTTGGGGCTCAAATCCTTTATGAGATGGAAGTACACAAATGAGTAAGATGTGCACTTTTGGTGCTCTCCTGAGAAGGAATTATTCGCAGTTAATTAAATAGACGTGCTCCTGTGTGGACGGCTCATCATCAAACTATCAGTGCGACAGGGAAGCATAGGGCACGGGTCCACTCTCGGCGGGAATGGGGCGGGGGGGCTAGACTGGCAGGGTTCCCCCGGGGTCTACACAGGGCAGATTCTTGCAAGAGGACAGCTGCCCCCGCCCGGGCTCCCTGCTGCCTGAGCTCCCAGCTAGAAGGTGGGGCAGGTAGGATTTGGATCCACATCGGTGGTGGCTAAAGCCCTACCGTTCCTGTTTAAATCTCGCGCCCTTCCTCAGCGGCAGGCCCCAAAAGCAGAGGAGGGCAGGGGGTATGGAAAAGCCACTTAAGTGCCCCCGTTAGCCCCCGGGCACACGAGTAGTGTCGAGAAGCGTCGAGGTCGCCTGTCATCAGCCTCGGATCTCAGCCCCCCAACGGGTGGTTTCTCTGAGAAAGGCATTGCGTCTCTTAATTCTTCCTCTTTGTTTTCCAAAGGGCAGTGGGAACGGGTGAAGTGTGTGGCTGGGCAGATTCACCGAAGTCCCATGGGAAGCAGGACCTGGAGCCGGGCTCAGCCCTCAGCACCAGACAGCAAGGAACCCGGACTGTTGCCAGACGCCCGTGCGGTAAATTACCTGGACCCGAGCCGCCCACTGACGGGGAGGCCCCCCTCGCGCTCTCTCTTCTCTCACCCTGCTCTGGATGGTGTGTGGTTTTTAAAGAAGGGGCTTTCTCTTTAGTTCTCTAGGGTCTGATAGGAACGGACCCCAGGCTTCTCTTTGCACATGTTAAAGAAAATAAAAAAATGGAAAAAAAAAAAATTCTACTCCGACAGAACAGGCTGGGCTACCGTGAGCTCTCTGCCCGGTGGTGAAGACTTCAGCACGGGCAAGATTCTGTTTCCAGACCGCTCCTTCTGGTGATGCGCCAAGACGCCCGTGAGGTGGGAGTTACGAAGTAGGACAGACCCCTGCAGTCTCCTTTTCTCCGTCTCTTCCTGTGCAAATCTGATGTCCTTCCACATTCTGACAAAAGCCATAGGTTGAGCTAGGATAAAGTGGTAAGGGAGGCCCAAGGCGATTGTGGGAGTAGGATTTTGAGTTTTGAAGAACCAGGAGCGCTGGGTGGCCTGGTAAGCTGTTTGAAAAGCAGCTGTGTGTTCTGTCTCGTTTTCTCTGTAACCCGGTTCTGCACAAGAGGCTCTTAGGACCTGCAGTCAGAGCCGCTCCCCCTCTTGCCCATTCTGCGGTTTCCACCAGTAACGCGGGACGGTGGGGTCGTTTTGCTTGTTTTGTTTTTGTTGGTTTTCAGAGGATGATGTAAATAGGTTATGTTTCAAGGGGGCCGGCCTTCTGCAGCTCCAGTAGCTTCCTAAAGCAACAGGTGGTACCTTTAGACGGGGCTGTTCAATCCCTCCCAGCCCGGCTCACCGGCAGATTCTCCACAAAAACAAGTCCAGGTAGAGTGGCTGGGAGTCTAGGCCACCTTGGTAGAAGTTAGACAAAGGGTCAGTGAGTGGCGATCTGGTCCCGAAGTTCCAATTTGGTGACTCGTAGACGGGGGAGGGGGCCGGGGGGGGGGTTAAAAGTCACTCCTTCGTCTCCTCTGTGAAGCAGACACGTCTTCTGGCCTCCTTTTCTCTCTTTGGCCTGTGTGGGTAAACAGAAGCGCCGAGTTCTTTAACACGCACCCTCCGGCCTCGCCTGCACGCGGACACCGCACCCATCCGCGCAGTTACCAAGGATCAGGGTTGGGTGTCCGAAGCGGGGCAAGCGGTCCCTCGGTCCCTCGGGTAAAGCCCCTCACGGCCGAGTTCCCCTTGCTCTTTGTTGGTCCTCTGGCGCGTCCTGAAGGAGGCTAGCAGAATGGAGGCCGGCGGATCGGACAGTATGAATCGATGCAGCTGTGTCTTAAGGAGAATCGGGAAGAATAGTCCAGAACAAAGTCGTTTCTTCCTTTTCTCCCTTCTCTCTCTGGTCTGCCTCACGCTGACCTAAGGTTCCGGGGTCTTCCCGCTTGCCCAGGCAGGCTTGCCGCCACCATCTAGAAGCCATGCCCGCCCTCTTGAATCCGCTGGCAACGAGCCCTGATAAAGATCCACCCCCCATCCCCTCTCCAGAGAGTCTGAAATGCCCCTCCCCACCTCACCTTAGACTGAAGTTTTAAATCATGTCAACCAGATGATGCTTGCTTTATGTGAGAATTATTTCAGCAGAATGGATACAAATTTTCAAAAACAGTCTTTTCATATCTATGTATTCTATATTAAAAGTGATAAAAGTCATGTTTCTGGGGCGTATTCAAGTAGCTGACAAGTAATTATTTAATAATAGTACATTGAGTGCATTGTAATTATTCTTGCCGTAGTCAGGTAATAGTATCCAACAGAAATTTCCTACCAACCTGCTGTATCCAAAGTTTTGTAAAAAGTTGTAGAAGTTGTTGATCTTTTTGATTTTATATTCAAAAAGTCTCTTTTTATAAATATTATTTATTATACAATGTATATACCTTTGAGTTAACTAAGATTATATATTATATAAATATATATATATTTGGAGAAAATATATTTCATCATGCAGTTTTTTTCTGTTAAGTCATTAAAGAGAAGGTAAACAAACTTAAAACGGATACATTGTACCGTGTGTGGAGTTTCCAGATTAATGCTCAGGAGGTCGAGAGTATCCGATTCTGGATGTGCTGGCCTCCACCTGCACCCTTAAGTTAGTGCCCCAAATCAAAGCCATTCCCTCTGTTCTCTAAGCGGGATCATCGGAGACATCAGGGACAGTAGGTCTGATCCACTGCAGGGCTTTCTTACAGGCTTACTTTGCTCTAAGTCAACATCCAACAGATAATTCCCAGTTTTGCAAGTAAGCAGTTGGGCGCTAATGCTTTTCATAGACTCAGGCACCTCCACTGCACAAATTAATGTCACAGACACTCAGAGATGTGGCTCGAGGCCAGCAGACCACGGGGTTGGTTAATCCTTTCCTCACCCATGTTTTCAACTCCATTTATTGGGAAAATAGGATTTGCTCTATTGAAAATGAAACTTGACTGGAAATGGCTCCCCCCGCTGCTAGCTAATCTACAGAAGGGGTAGGTGGGTCAGGAAGATGAAGTGGTGTGCCCTAGCCTCTGGGTGGCCTGGAACAGGTGTCATTTGCAGCTTGCGATGGGGCAGAAAGGACTCCCCAGTGGGCACGTTCTGGGAAGGGCATTCTCTTCTCAAAACGCTGCTTCAAAAGGACTCACCTGAGACTCCCAAGCAATGCTTTCTCAACAGTGAGAGGCTGTAACTCGGTTTTATGACAATAGACGATCCTTTGGTCTTCAGACCTACCCATAAAATGTCACCTTTGGTTTATGGAGCACGGCTAAAATGCTTTTGCTTTTTCTTTCTCCTGATTTACCTTTATTAGAAGCAAATCTTACTCATCTCACTGCATAGAAAAACATAAAAATAAAGCGGTCTGCCCTGTGTGGTGGTGACGGGCTGTCTCGTGCTACAATTCAGGCCTCTAACCTTCGATTAGGAATGGCTACTACAAGTTCATGAATTTTACTGTGCCCGTTATGTGTCTTTATTTAGTCCCTGAAAAGCTTAAACCACAAAAATGGTGGTATCGGCGGCACAAGAAATCGGACGTGGAAAGTATACGGAAATCTCTGTATCTTACAGCCCTGCTCATCTTGTACTTTAACTTTGACAGAAAGCCAATACTCATCTACCCCAGCATTCTGGGTAGTTTTTTTTTTTTTTTTTTTTTTAACCTAGAAGATTGCCAAATATTTAAATGGTCCCTATTCATACTTACCAAGGCCATTTGTAATCCTTTCTATGATTAATCATATACTATGATTAAAGAGAACACAGTTTATTGCAGTGCTTGAACGTTCAGTTTCTCCATAAGTATAAATACTAATAAACATCTAAACACAAGAGGAAGTTTTAAAAAAATAAAGATCCAAGGGGCGCCTGGGTGGCTCAGTCGGCTAAGCGTCCGACTCTTGATTTCGGCTCAGGTCATGATCTCACAGCTCTGTGAGACAGTGCAGAGCCTGCTTGGGGTTCTCTCTCGCGCCCTCTCTTTCTGCCCCTCCCCCCACTTGTGCGCTCTCTCTCAAAATAAATAAACTTAAAAAAAAAATCTTTGGGCCACCTGGGTGGCTCAGTCAGCTGAGTGTCCGACTTCAGCTCAGGTCATGATCTCACGGCTTGTGGGTTTAAGCCCCATGTTGGGCTCTGTGCTGACAGCTCAGAGCCTGGAGCCTGCTTTAGATTTTGTGTCTCCATTTCTCTCTCTCTCTCTCTCTGCCCCTCCCCTGCTTGCGCTCTCTCTCTTTCTCTCTCTCTCTCTCAAAAATAAATATTAAAAAAAATTTTAACCTTTAAAAAAAAAAAGATCCAGGGGCGCCTGGGTGGCGCAGTCGGTTAAGCGTCCGACTTCAGCCAGGTCACGATCTCGCGGTCTGTGAGTTCGAGCCCCGCGTCGGGCTCTGGGCTGATGGCTCAGAGCCTGGAGCCTGTTTCCGATTCTGTGTCTCCCTCTCTCTCTGCCCCTCCCCCGTTCATGCTCTGTCTCTCTCTGTCCCCAAAATAAATAAACATTAAAAAAAAATTAAAAAAAAAAAAGATCTGAAAGAGACAATATAATGAGATTCCTTTCAAAGCAGTATTTTATGAAAAAAGGGAAGAAAATGTGTGCATTCAAGGCTGAGGGGAAGAAGAACAAATAAAGGCAAAGGAAAGGCAGAGAAGCAGGGGAGAGATGGTGGTGAGGCTATTCTAGGTGCATCCAGTGACGGTATCCAATGGTCCAGTGGTAGATCCAGGCCACCCTGGGTATGTGGACGGACACGTAAGCTGCAGGTGATCTACATACACACAGGTGAAGTTATATGCAGCAAAATTTATGGTTACTCCGCTGTCATCATTTCTCTTAGCTTAACAGAGAACTTTCTAGGAGGCAAAGAGTTACCTTACCATTAATCTTAAACTCCTCAAATAGTGGGGCAAAGTCAGTTGTGTGGAGAGACCGTATGCTGGGAAAATTTCAAACATGAGTCCTCCTTGCAAATTCTGTCTTCACGGCTCGGGATTCTTGCCCCTCAAAGGTGCTCTGTGCTGCATTGTAAGGCCACATTGTCCGCACAGCACTCGGCCTCTGTGGGCGCAGCTCCAGGGCCCAGTCTCAGCACCGCTTGCCAGTGGAGGAGAAACTTAGATCCTTTTGCAGCAACTTCTGAAATTTACATGCGTTTTTGAACTTTCATCCACACCTTCCCCAGTGTCGTCTTTGACGAGGCTTATGAATCAAGCGGCCAGGCGAGGAGCATGAAATCTTGCTTTCACCTTTTGTGCTTGGGCTGGGCTGGTTGTTGATCGCTGACTCGGTGCTTCAACAAGTCTGTTAACCAGGACTTCATGATTTACACACTCGAATCTACTCCATGACTTGCTGTGGAAACTTAAAGCGGAGGCTGTTCACTGCAGGTTAAGGGACATGAAAAGACAGCCTTAAGGCAAACCATGTTTCAGATTTTAGCCACCATTATTGTTTTTCTGTTATATCTTTTTAAAGGTATTTGAGTGAAGATGTACAAATAACAGAAAGGAGGAGATAGCCTTTTTTTTAAGTTTTAATTACATTTTCTGACAAAAACTAGCCTGTTCACAGTGGATCCGTATGTGAAGAAACCCAAGGCAGCAGCTGGCTGCAGTCTCCTTTGCTTTGTCACTAAGCCTGTGACCTCAGACCCTCTCTTGCTCTGCCCAGCACAGTTCTGGGATAACTTCAAGACCCCACCTTCTCGAGGCTACACAGGGACCAGGGTGGCCTAGGGTCCTCCTAGGAGGTATAGACAACTCCTGGCGAGCTGATCCTGCTGTCAGAGAGGCTCTGAAACTGACCTCTTCCCACTGAGCCTTGCTGATTCTCTGAGCTGCCTTTCATCCCAGCCTGGTCCACCTCTGAAGATTGGGCTTTTAGACTAAGAGATCCTATAGCTCAGAAAAATGAAAAAGGATGCAGGATTCCAAAATGAAACAGGTGAAGAAATCCCACCGAGAGTGTCTGAATCCCTTGGTTTGTGCATTTCACAGGAAGGAGTAATTCTGCTAAACAATTTTCTTTTCTGGAGTATTCCTAACCCATTTATAGCTTTGGTATAACTTGTTTTTTAATAAGGTGCAAATAAGTAAAATAAGTATGGAGATTCTTGTTGCGCATTAACATCTGAAAATATATTAGTGATCTATTTTTCTTTTTAAATGACTATACTTACCTAAATAGTGAAAATCAGTTTTTTTTTAATGTTTATTTTTAAGAGAGAGAGAGAGAGAGAGAGAGAGAGCAAGCAGGGGAAGGGCGGAGAGAGAGGGAGACACAGAATCGGAAGCAGCTCCAGGCTCTGAGCTGTCAGCACAGAGCCCAAGGCAGGGCTCGAACTCACAAACCGTGAGATTATGACCTGAGCTGAAGTTGGACGCTTAACCAACTGAGCCAACCCAGGTGCCCCAAACCAGAGATGTTTAAATAAAAACAATCCATCTCCTTAGACTAGTTGTAACAAAGCAAGGAGGGGCTCTTCTGAGCCCCCTCTTCTTCACACATTCCTATCAGTCATACACACTGTTTCATACAAAATACTGGTCTACAGAATGTTTTCAAGTATAGATATTCTTTATTGCATTCCTTCATTTGCATTAAACAATATATTTATATTTTTCAATATAGTTTTGGACAAAACACCAAGAAATCAACCTCATTTAACAAGAGACATAAGTTAATACAATGTGTGCTGCTTTCACAGGAAGAGAAAAGAGGCAAGCTGTAAAACAGATAAGGGAATCCAAGATACTGGCCACCGGGAATCACAGAATTTCACAATACAATCCACTTTTTAAAAAGCCACAAAATAAGCTAGGGATGAAAACCCAAAACAAGATAGATATGACACTGAAGTCAACCAAAAATACATAGATGGCAAGATCTGGAGACAATTTGCCTTCTACCACGGGGACAAATGACAGAGCTACACCTAAGTGCCACTGTGGCAACAAGTCCCTGGGCGGCGTAAAGCCCCTTCAGATGGCTTCTGATTGCCTGTCCCTGCGTTTTAAGCAGCAGTGGGGAGAGAGTGGCCTGCTCTGTAAGTCTCATCACAAATATGATGACCTAATTAATTCCTTTTGACTCCATTATAAGACAAACCACGGACTCTCCTTCCCTTTGGAAGAAGAGTGTAGAGGGTAAAGGAAATGTGTTAAATGTACTGGAATGGATGTTAAAAGACTCAGAGGGCAAGGGCTAGAAAACAGTGTCTTCTGGAGGAAAGTGTTTTATTTAACAGATGCTAGATAGTACAGATGGTTTAAAATAAAGGGAGGATAAATTCTAAGTTGTTGAGCTAAGGATACTAATAAGCCTTTAATATTACAAAGAATTGTCCCATTTAGAATTGGACACTAGTAACGTGCTGAAAGTTTATAAATGATTTTATTGTAACGACTCCTTTCTATTTAGGGGTGTACGCTTTTTCCACATGGGTCTTTAGTAAGTCTTGAACAACAAGCTACCAAGCGGTAACGGTTAGCAGATCTCTTACCACAGAGCAAGTCAGTAACATTGAGGATATGCCACGGCCAACACAGTAATAACCAGACTTCCTATTAAGAAAGACCTTTTGACTGCAACTTGGAAACATCTCTGAAAATGATTGAGAACAGCATTTCGAAATTCAAAGCCCTGTTCCTTCAGGCAAAGAAAACCACCAGTTTCCTGGGAGAACCTAAACCAAATACCCAAGTACCTTTAGTGTTAGCACAGGGGAGTTGTAAGATAATCCCTTTGAACCCACACTTCCAGTCACTCTTCCTGGTTTACATCTAGAAAGTCTTCCTTCTAAGAAGCCAAGTGTTGTCTTGGAACATTGTTACGTTTACTGAGGGGGTTGGGTGGCGATGGCGGTGGGGAGCTTAAAACGTGTAGTGTTCACAAGTGTAGTACATCACCCGCACTTAAAGACCGAGGAAGAAGAAATCATCTTAGCTTGCACAGAAAGGTAAGCACAGCATTCTAAAGCGAATTTGTACCTTCCACAAAACAGCAGAATATCTGAGTAAGCACAAGGGAGGGAGTTTTATTGCACTAATCATGCAGAGTGAGCACGTGTTGAAGGTAGGGACTGTTTCACTTTGTCCAGGATCTTGAGTTGAGTGAAGATCCCAGGCCATCTTCACCTTGGTCACTTCCCTTGGTCACTGTGTGTGTGCAAAGAGTCCGTTTTCAAAGTCAAGGGGGCTACTGAAAAAGAAATACCCAAAACAAACAAACAAAAAACCAGATGAGGGTCTACAAAAAAAACCATGCGTCACAAAATCACTAAAAGCTTCTTAATGGTTTTTCTACATTTTTCACTATGCATCTGCTATTAGATAAGCATTTCACAAAAGAAAACGGTCATAGCCCCATGCATTT